CCATCCATCCATCCACCCATCCATCCACCTCCATCCATCCATTCCTCCACCCAACCATCCATCCATCCATCCATCCACCCACATCCACCCATCCGTCCATCACCTACCATCACCCACCATCCATCCATCCACTACCCATCCATCCACCCACCCATCCATCCACCCTTCCACCGTCCATCCATCCATCCACCCACCCACCCACCCATCCATCCATCTATCCATCCACCCATCCATCCATCCATCCATCCATCCATCCATCCACCCATCCATCCACCCATCCATCCATCCACCCACCCATCCATCCATCCATCCATCCATCCATCCACCCATCCATCCATCCACCCATCCACCCATCCATCCACCCATCCATCCATCCATCCATCCATCCATCCATCCATCCATCCACCCAACCATCCACCCATCCACCCACCCATCCACCCATCCACCCACCCATCCGTCCATCCACCTACCCATCCATCCACCCACCCATCCATCCTCCCATCCATCCACCCAACCACCCATCCATCCACCCATCCACCCATCCACCCACCCATCCACCCACCTGTCCATCCGTCCATCCGTCCACCCGTCCACCCGTCCACCCATCCACCCGTCCATCCATCCACCCACCCGTCCATCCATCCACCCACCCATCCATCCGTCCATCCATCCACCCGTCCATCCGTCCATCCGTCCATCCACCCACCCACCCATCCATCCATCCGTCCGTCCGTCCATCCATCCACCCATCCACCCACCCATCCGTCCATCCACCCATCCATCCACCCATCCATCCATCCACCCATCTATCCACTCGTCCATCCATCCATCCATCCATCCATCCATCTATCCATCCATCCATCCACCCATCTATCCATCCATCCATCCACCCACCCATCCATCCACCCATCCACCCATCCACCCATCCATCCACTCACCCATCCACCCATCCGTTCACCCATCCACCCATCCATCCACCCATGCATCCATCCACCCACCCATCCATCCACCCATCCACCCATCCACCCATCCGTTCACCCATCCATCCATCCACCCATCCATCCACCCACCCACCCATCCATCCACCCACCCATCCACCCAACCACCCATCCATCCACCCATCCATCCATCCATCCACCCATCCACCCATCCATCCACCCATCCACCCATCCATCCATCTATCCATTCATCCATCCACCCATCCATCCACCATCCATCCACCCAATCACCCACCCATCCACCCATCCGTTCACCCACCCATTCATCCACCACCCACCCACCCATCCATCCACCCATCCATCACCCATCCACTCATCCACCCACCCACCCATCCATCCACCAACCATCCATCCACCCATCCACTCATCCATCCATCCACCCACCCATCCATCATCCGTTCACCCATCCAATCATCCACCCACCCATCCATCCACCCATCCACCACCCATCCGTCCATCCACCCACCCATCTGTCCATCCACCCACCCACCCACCCGTCCATCACCCATCCACCCATCACCACCCATCCATCCATCCACATCCATCATCCACCCATCCATCACCCATCCATCCATCCACCCATCCATCACCATTCCATCCATCCATCCATCCATCCATCCATCCACCCATCCACCCATCCATCCACCCATCCACACATCCACCCATCCATTCACCCACCCATCCATGCACCCACCCATCCATCCACCCATCCATCCATCTATCCACTCACCCATCTATCCATTCACCCTCCATCCATCCACCCACCCATCCATTCATCGTCCATATTCCTGTCCATCCATCTACCCATCTATCCATCCACTCACCCATCATCATCCATCCATTCACTCACCCAGCCATCTATTCATCCTCCATCCATTCTTTCATTCATCCATCCATCCTCTGTCTGTCAGTCCATCCACCCATCATCCATCCATTCAACAGGAGGTGAGGCCCTCAGTCCATGCCCTGTTGAAGTGCTTTTCTGGCTCCCCAGCTGGCCCAGGATGAACCCCTGCCCCTCATCACAGCCAGGTCCTGTGGCCTCTGCTTCCTGCCTGCATTCTCGCGTCTGTCTCTGCTCCTTGCTTGCCCTGCTCCAGGCACATGGAGCCGTGGAGAGGGGCAGCGCCTGGGCCAACCCACACAGTGACCTATACACACCTCAGAAGCCCTCAGGCTGGTGTATCTGTGGGGTTAAAGTCCTAAAAAATGGAGTTTCAGGGTCAAAGTGTTTGTTGGTCATTTAAAAAACTGAGGTGAACTTCACATAACATTATTAATCATTTGCTTGTTGCATTTTTCACAATTCAGTAGCATTTAGTACATTCATAATATTGTGCAACCACCCGTTTTGTCTAACTCCAGAATTGCTCGTGACCCCAGTAGGAAACGTGTTTCCGTCAGCCTTCACTCCCCGATCCCTGGCACCCACACGTCCTCTCGCTGCCTCTGTAGGACATTTCATAGAGATGACGTGGGCTGTGCCCCTTCCCTCCCACCAGCAAGGGCCAGGGATGGAAGGACGCTGTGGCCTTCACCTCCTGGCCCTGCTCCCCACCCTTCACGGCACTGAAACAGGCCAGGGACTCGGCGGGACGCCCCTGCCCCTCTCGTCCGTCGGTATCATCAGAGTCGTTGAGACGGTGAATTCCCGTTTCACGGAAACGGCTGTCTTGGCCGGGAGCCCGCAAACTTCCTGTGGAGGGCGAGGCCAGCAGTGTGTGCATCTGTGGCTGCCAGGACGTCCGCCCCACTGTTTGCCAGACCCTGAGCTGGGCGCTGGAGATAGAGAAGTGCTCGGGATCGCACCGTCCTCACACTCCTCGGCTTAGGTGCTGGCTGAACAGAGACCGACAAGGGCAAGACGGTTAAGGGACCAAGCACCATAGAGCCTTGGGGGAACCGCCAGGCCCCTGAGAAACAGCAACAGAGAAAAACATGCCTGGAGTTCGAGGGGTGGCTCTCGGGACAGTGTCCAGGCCTTGAGGTGGGGGAGGCAGGAAGGCCCCGGAGCCACCAGGGGCAGAGGAAAGGCTCGACCCCAGGGGTGGCCGAGGAGGCGAAGGGCTGTGGGGAAAAGGGACGTGGCTCCACTGCGGGGTTTCCGATGGCGTCTGACACCTGTTCTCTCCCCTCAGTACATGGGCTGCATCGAGGTCCTCCGCTCCATGCGCTCCCTGGACTTTAACACACGCACGCAGGTGACCAGGTGAGCCTCCAACCCTGCCCTGGCCACACAGGGCGTGTGAGGCGCTGGAGGGCGGCAGTGATGGGCTCCACGACAGCCGTGCTGGGGACCCCAGGACACGCCTCGGCGCCCTCCTACCTCCCTCCCGCTTCACACCACGTCTCCGCCCTGTCCCCATGCCAGGCATCGATCACTGGGCCCTGCAGGCCTCGGTCCTCCTCTAAGAGGGAAAGAACGCCGGTTGCTCGCAGGGTGCTGGGCACGTCTCCGCACGGCGGGGGGTGCAGGGCCTGGCGGGTTCCCTCTGGGACCAGGGCCCAACGGCTTCTCTGTGTCCCTGCTCTGTTCTCCACACGGTGACCTCAGGATGCTGTGCGGCGTCTGGAAAGGAATCTCAGGGGTTGTGGATATGACCAGGGCTTAAGCAGGGAGGAGAGCGACACCCTTTTTTTCTGTGAAAACTGGTTGATTCCATTCATATAGACTTAAAAAAACCTATGTGGGGTAGTTTACACGTGCGTATGTGAGATGTAATTCCCACATCAAACGATTCACCTGGGCTTTTTAGGATCTTCACAGTCACCACCACTGTCTGGTTCCGAACATCCTCGTTACCCCGAAACACCCCGTCCCCCTCACAGCCACTCCCCGTCCCCTCCCCAGCCCCGGCACCCACCAGCCATCCCCTCCCTGTCTCTGTGGGTCGGCCTGTCCTGGACATTTCATAGCAATAGGATCACGCATTGCGTGGCCTCCTGTGTCTGGCGTCTCTCACTGAGCGTGACTTTCCCAAGCTGCATCCACAGTGGCCTGGGTCAGAGCCTCGCTCCTTTTCTTTCTTTTTTTCTTTTCTATTCTTTTGTGTTTTTTTTTTTTTCTTGAGACGGAGTCTCACTCTGTCACCCAGGCTGGAGTGTGCAATGGTGAGATCTTGGCTCACTGCGACCTCTGTCTCCAGGTTCAAGCAATTCTCCTGCCTCAGCCTTCCTGAGTAGCTGGGATTACAGGCGCCGCCACCACGCCCAGCTAGTTGTTATATTTTTAGTAGAGACGGGGTTTCTCCATGTTGGTCAGTCTGGTCTCGAACTCCTGACCTCAGGTGATCCGTCCGCCTCGGCCTCCCAAAGTGTTGGGATGCCAGGTGGGAGCCGCCGCGCCCGGACAATTTTTAAGCTTTTGAGGAGTCCACAGGCTGTTTTCCACAGCGGCCGTGCCGTGGAAAATTCCCATGCGCCCTGGGTCGGGGGAGTCTGGTTTCTCCACGACGCCATTTCCGAGGCCCCTGCAGGACCCCGTAGACTTTCTGACTTCTCCTGGGGACCAGTGGTTTGAGGCGCTCTCGTTCGGGGTCAGCTTCTGCCACCACTCAGGGGCCCTCCAGAGCAGCGGTCACTCCTCCGGCACTGCAGACAGGATCAGGACACGGGACTGGGGTCAGGCTCAGGGCCTCCTGCTCGCTGGTCCAACCCCCAGATCTGACCCCGCGCCTTCCTATTGGGCCGAGGCCAGGGACACGCTGGTCCCGGGAAAGAGATGGTGGTAGAGGGGCTGGAGCTGGGGGGCCGGGCATCTGCCGGATGCAAGGATGCAGGACGGGGTGGGCTGGACCTGTCCTGCTGGGCACTCATCCCCCAGGTTCCCAGCCCCCACCCTCTCCCATCCCCTGCCGCTCTGCCTTCCTCTCCCCTCTCTGACTCCGCCCTTCTCTGAGCTCCTGCCCCCTCCCCAGACCCCCGCCCTCTCTGACTCCTTCTCCCCAGCTCTCCCCCTGACCACCCCCACCACACCTCTCTAAGCCCCCTCCTCCATCCCCAGGGAAAGCCATCAACCGGCTCCACGAGGCCGTGCCTGGCGTCCGGGGATCCTGGAAGAAAAAGGTGAGTTGAGGCTTGTGGTCTCTCGTGGGGCCGGTGGGGCACTTGGGAGCGCGGGGACGCTGTGGCCATCCTGGGAGCCCCTCGGCGGGCCCCACCCATGGCCGCCCTCGCTGTGCTCCGCCCCCAACTCAGGCCCCCAACAAGGCCCTGGCGTCTGTCCTGGGCAAGAGCAACCTTCGCTTCGCCGGCATGAGCATCTCCATCCACATCTCCACCGACGGCCTTCAGCCTCTCCGTGCCCGCCACGCGCCAGGTGGGTCTTGCCCTCCTCCCCGGCGTCCCCAGACCCCCAGAGGGGCCAGGGAGTCCTAGGACCACCGAGGCAAAGGCAGGCTGGGCGCTGGGGTGGGCAGCAGGTGGCATTTATCCGGAAAGATGAGCGAGGCCCTGCTGAGCGGGAGCTGGGGTGCAGGCCGCTGCCTTCACGGGGCTCAGCTCAGGGGCTTCCGCCTGGGCAAGCTGTCCCAACACCGGGGTGCTCCTGGCATGGAGTGGGTGGGGGCAGGGACGCTGCTCAGCACCCGCAGTGGCCAGGACGCCCCACCCCAGAGAGTAGTCCATCCCAACGTCCACGGTGCCTGGGGGAGGGGGATAAACCCGGCTACCAGTCCTCAGGGGGGAAACAAACAGCAGAAGTATCATCGCTGCAGGCCGGGCTCGGCGGCCCTAATCCCAGCACTGTGAGGCCGAGGTGGGCGGATCACTTGAGGTCAGAGTTTGAGACCAGCCTGGCCAACATGGAGAAACCCCGACTCTACCAAAATACAAAGATTAGCCGGGCATGGTGGCGGGCGCCTGTAATCCCAGCTACTTGGGAGGCTGAGGCAGGAGAATCGCGTGAACCCGGGAGGCGGAGGTTGCAGTGAGCCGAGATTGCACCACTGCACTCCAGCCTGGGCGACAGAGCATCTCAAAACACCAGAAAAACAAAAAACATGATTGCAGAAATGAAGGAAATACTAGATTCTAGGAGGCATTGCGCGGCCAGGCGAGGGGCGTCCTGAGCGTGTGCTGGGCTGTGTGTGCTGGAGACACTTCCTGGAGGGCTCTGGGGGGTGGTGAGGAGGGGGTCTCAGGGAGGTCTGGCTGAGAGAGGAGGCGTCTCCCTGTCGGAGAAGTTCGCATGGGCCATCGTGAGGGGCTGGGGCGAGGCAGCGTCCCTGGGCTGGCGTTGGGGCGGCGGGTGGCGGCGAGGGTCAGCTCGGGCTTTAGGAGGAGGTTAGAGAAGGATGGAGCTGGCCGGGGGTGGCTGAGGGCTGTTTCCACGCAGTTTCCATCTCCGCCCCGACCCCTGCGAGGCACGGACCCCTGACCACCATACGGACAGGACGCTGAGGCTCCGAGCGGACCCTCCTGGCTGGGCCGGGGTTGGCCAGGGGAGAGCCTCCAGGGTCCCTGTGGGGGCTGAGGAGTGGATGTTCTGTAGGGAGAACTCAGGACGTGGCTGGTAGTGGGGGTTCACTGGGGCCTAGAGAGATCTGAGTGACGGGAAGCAAGTGAAGCAGAACCATGCAAATGAGCATGCATAGAAGCATGCAAACGAGCATACAAGCATGTAAATGAGCATGCAAATGAGCAACAAGCATGCAGATGAGTGCGCAAATGAGCATGCAAAGAAGCATGCAAATGAGCACACAAGCATGTAAATGAGCATGCAAATGAGCACACAAGCATGCAGATGAGCGTGCAAATGAGCATTAAAGCATGCAGATGAGCACACAAGCATGCGAATGAGCACACAAACAAGCATGCAGATGAGTGTGCAAATGAACATGCAAAGAAGCACGCAAATGAGCACACAAGCATGTAAATGAGCATGCAAATGAGCACACAAGCATGCAGATGAGCGTGCAAATGAGCATTAAAGAAGCATGCAAATGAGCACACAAGCATGCAAATGAGCATGCAGATGAACATGCAAATGAGCATGCAAATAAGCACATGAGCATGCAAATGAGCATTCAGATGAGCATGCAAATGCACTCACAGGTGCTCTTGCACATAGACAAGGGAGTCAGGAATGTGGGTCCAGCCCTCCCACGGCTGCTTCGGGTGTGTGGGGGTGTGTGTGTGTGTGCCCATGTGTGGGGCATGGGATGTGTGTGCGTGAGCGTCTGGGCAGGTGCCTGTGTGGTGTTGCAGTGGGGGTGGTTTGTCCTGTCACTCACATTCCCGTGTGACCTCCTGCGGACCCCACACACCCCTTAGGGCCCTAGTCCCGTCCTGCTGGGGCCTCCACATCCCAGCCTTGGTCGTCTAGGCTGACCCAGGACCCGGCTGCAGTGGGTGCCTGTCCAGGGGACGTCTCCATCCCCACATCCCTGCCCCTGCCCCCTTCCTCGCTGTGGCCCTGGTACAGTTGCCGGGCCCCCTGCCCTCGTAGTGGGGCCCCCATGACCACGTGTGCCTCCTGCCCCCACAGGTCATCGCCAACCACCACATGCCGTCCATCTCCTTTGCATCGGGCGGAGACACGGTGAGGCCAGGGATAGGGGTGGACCTGCAGCCCCGCCGCCCCCTGCAGCCGCGAGACCCTCTCGCCCTTCCCAGAGCCCGCCTCACGTACCCTGTGCCCACATCCACTGCCCATCTGTCTGCATTGCTGGGGTGGGTGGCTGGGAATCCCGGTGGGGGCCCAGGCAGGTCCAGCTGGCCCCTCCCTGCCCCCAGGACATGACGGATTACGTGGCCTACGTCGCCAAGGACCCCATCAACCAGAGAGGTGAGGCTCCCCGGGGAGGCTGGTGGGGGTCCCGTGGCCGGGGGGCATGGCCGTGTGGCTTGGAGGCCGCATGACCAATGCCCCCACAGCCTGCCACATCCTGGAGTGCTGTGAAGGCCTGGCCCAGAGCGTCATCAGCACCGTCGGCCAAGCCTTCGAGCTGCGCTTCAAGCAGTACCTGCACAGCCCACCCAAGGTGGCACTGCCCCCAGAAAGGTAACAGACCCGCCTCCCCCATGCCCTGGGGACGCCCCCAGCGACCTGCCCGGGTGCAGAGCCGGCTCCACCTCCTGCAGGCCTCGGCCTCCATCCTGCCCTTGTCCCTCCCTCCCTGTCCCCGAGAATGTGGCTCGGCCAGAGGATCCTGTTTCCTCGGCTGTAACACCCGGGTGAACGCATCCCCGCCCCCAGGACTGGGGAGGACTGAGCGAGCTGACTCCCCGGTGTGCCCGAGGCTGTCAGCCCTGCCGCTATAACCAACATCCCTCCTCCAGACGCACGGCCGGCTCAACGGCCTCTGTCTCACCGCAGAAGATGTGTGTGGGGGGCGTGTCTGTGTGCTGGTAACGTTATTCATAGACGTTGAAGTGTGAATGTCACGTGTCGCAAAATATGATTCTCTGGATGTTTCTCAAACACTTAACTTTGATGATTTAGAGGCTGAACGCCCATTCTTAGCTCGTGGGACACACAGATCTAGGCAGTGAGCTGGATTTGGCCCTGGGCTGGGGTTTGCCAGCCGGCCTTGGAGAAGGAGGCATTTAAGTCTATTCATCATTAGAAAGTCACGTTCCTCCAGCGGTGGGAGGGCAGGTGCAGGCCCGTGAGCTCCCAGCCCTGCTGGTCACGCGTGCTCACGCTCACCCCTTTGTGCACAGGGACGGCGTGCCCACGCACATTGCTTGGCGTGCTCCGACGCTGGGACGGGTTCCTCGCCTGCCTCTGGAGCTGCCCTGCCTTCCGTAGGCTGCCCTGTGATTTCTCCGCAGCGATTGTGGGCCAGGCGGCGTGTGCCCCTCTGGCTCTCGGGCCGTGCTTGCTGAGGAGCCCGCCAGCGCCTTTGGGGCCGGAGGGCGGGGGCACTGTGATCCCAGAGTTACCACCCTGACCGGCGATGTCCTGGTTCTGGGTATAAACTTGGCTCCTGCCCTCTGCTGCCGGGCAGCGCCGGAGATGGGCAGAAAGGAGTGAGACCGGGTTTGCCAACGTCCTGCCTTTTGTGCTGCAGCTTGGAAATGTGCAACTTTCCATTTCAGAGACGAGGACGTTAGTGGGCCTGTCACTCGCTCTCGGAAGCGTTTCCTGGTGGGAACCCTCAGCGACAGGCGGGGGGCTGGGATTCGAACTCAGGCCTTCCTCTCCCTCAGAAGCTCAAGCTGTGGGGGTTTAGCCCCCTTGGGCCCTGCCTGTGCCACGGCCATTGCTGTCTGTCCCCCAGGCTGGCGGCCAGAGGAGTCGGCCTGGGGGGACGAGGAGGAGGCTGTGGAGCACAGTTACTACAACAGCGTCCCGGGGAAGGAGCCGCCGCCGGGCGGGCTGGTGACTCCCGGCTGGCCCTGACACAGCCCTGCGCCCTCACAGCCCTCGGCCAGGTCAGCCTCGCCTCGTGGGACCGGGCAGGGATGCCCAAGCTGCTGGTCTCCTGGGCTTCCTCCAGCTCTTCTTTCTGCTCCTGTTCTCCTTGATCCTAGAGGAGGGTCTCCTCTCACTCAGACTCACTCACTCGTTCCCTCCCTCACAGACTTGTGATCTCACTCACTCACGATCTCACTCACTCACGATTCTCACTCACGATCTCACTCATGATCTCTCTTACGATCTCACTCAGACTCACTCACTCGTTCACTCCCTCACAGACTTGTGATCTCACTCACGATCTCACTCACAATCTGTCACGATCTCACGATCTCACGATCTCACGATCTCACTCACCATCTCACTCACGATCTTACATCTCACTCACTCACGATCTCGCTCACTCATTCACTTATGATCTCAGACTCATTCACGATCTCACTCACAATCTGTCACGATCTCACTCACGATCTCACCCACCATCTCACGATCTCACGATCTCACTCACTCATGATCTCGCTCACTCATTCACTTATGATCTCACTCAGACTCACTCACGGTCTCACTCACAGACTCACTCAGACTCACGATCTCACTCACGATCTCACTCACGATCTCACTCACTCACGATCTCACTCACTCATCACTCATTCACTTACGATCTCACTCACTCATGATCTCATTCACTCACAATCTCACTCAGACTCACAGTCTCACTCACAGACTCACTCAGACTCATTCACAGACTCATGATGGGGCACCATGTATCTGCTGGGCCTACTCTCACTCACTCACTCACCAACTCACTGTCTCACTCACCATCTCACTCACGATCTTACGATCTCACTCACTCACGATCTCGCTCACTCATTCACTTATGATCTCAGACTCATTCACGATCTCACTCACAATCTGTCACGATCTCACTCACGATCTCACCCACCATCTCACGATCTCACGATCTCACTCACTCACGATCTCGCTCACTCATTCACTTATGATCTCACTCAGACTCACTCACGGTCTCACTCACAGACTCACTCAGACTCACGATCTCACTCACGATCTCACTCACGATCTCACTCACTCACAATCTCACTCACTCATCACTCATTCACTTATGATCTCACTCACTCATGATCTCATTCACTCACAATCTCACTCAGACTCACAGTCTCACTCACAGACTCACTCAGACTCATTCACAGACTCATGATGGGGCACCATGTATCTGCTGGGCCTACTCTCACTCACTCACTCACCAACTCACTGTCTCACTCACGATCTCACTCACGATCTCACTCACTCATAGACTCATTCACAGACTCTCTCTCTCTCTCACTATCTCACTCACGATGAGGCGCCGTCTATCTTCCCAGCCTACTCTGGACACATCAGACGAGGTGGCATTTCAGACATGACTTCTACCCTCAGACACTGAATAAATACGCTGATGATTTAATCACAGCATTGATAAGGCCACCAGGGAGGCACTGAGGATGTCCACAGGGACCTGGACTCTGTAGGGAGGTCAGAGGGCTTCCTGAGGAAGCGGCGTTTTGGGCGGGGCCCTGACTGGTGAATAGGAGCTGCCTGGGACAACAGTGCGGGGAAGGGCATCCAGGCAGGGGGAACAGCCATTGCAAGGTGGCAGATGGGCTGACCACCTTCCGAGGGTGGAGAGAAGGCGGGGAAGGGCATGGCAGAGGTGAGCAGCAGACCCAGGGGGCTCAGTCACAGAGCGAGGGAGCCAGGGAGGGCCAGGGCTGGCCTCCCCACCCCTAAGTCTCCAGCTGTCTAGGAGGGCCGGGTGGGGAGACTGAGGATCCTAAACCAGGTCCTGAACAGGAAGAGGGGCTTGCACACACCGCGGAACCTTCGCTGCTCTGTTTCCAGGGTCCATCTGCTTCTCTAGAGATGCCCGCAGCCTGCCATGGGACGTGGGGTCCACGGGTGCAGGTAGGATGGGCTCGGGCTGCAAGGGGTGCCCACGAGGATGCTGGGGCACCTCAGCCCCGTCCCGCGCTGCCTCCCCCTCAGTCTTTCTCCTCTCTGCTTATTTCACATTCACCTACGATGTCGTCTTGCTCCTCACAGTCTGCTGAGATTTTCATCATCAGTGTCTGTTTCTCCTGCACAGACTGGATTCCGTGCGTGTTGGATGTGGGTGCTGTGTGCATCCACATGGTATCAGGTTTCCATGCGTGTTGGATGTAGGTGCTGCGTCATCCACACAGTATCAGGTTTCCGTGCGTGTTGGATGTCGGTGCCGCATCATCCACACGGTATCGGGTTTCCGTGCGTGTCGGATGTAGGTGCTGTGTGCATCCACACGGTATCGGGTTTCCGTGCGTGTCGGATGTAGGTGCTGTGTGCATCCACACGGTATCGGGTTTCCGTGCGTGTCGGATGTAGGTGCTGTGTGCATCCACACGGTATCGGGTTTCCGTGCGTGTCGGATGTAGGTCCTGTGTGCATCCACACGGTATCGGGTTTCGGCGTGTCGGATGTAGGTGCTGTGTGCATCCACACGGTATCGGGTTTCCGTGCGTGTCGGATGTAGGTGCTGTGTGCATCCACACGGTATCGGGTTTCCGTGCGTGTCGGATGTAGGTGCTGCGTCATCCACACGGTATCGGGTTTCCGTGCGTGTCGGATGTAGGTGCTGCGTCATCACACGGTATCGGGTTTCCGTGCGTGTCGGATGTAGGTGCTGTGTGCATCCACACGGTATCGGGTTTCCGTGCGTGTCGGATGTAGGTCCTGTGTGCATCCACACGGTGTCGGTGTTTCCGTGCGTGTCGGATGTTAGGTGCTGTGTGCATCCACACGGTGTCGGGTTTCCGTGCGTGTCGGATGTAGGTGCTGGCGTCATCCACACGGTATCAGGTTTCTGTCCATGTTGGATGTAGGTGCTGCGTCATCCACACGGTTGTAGGTTTCCGTGCGTGTTGGATGTGGGTGCTGTGTGCATCCACACGGTATCAGGTTTCCATGCGTGTCGGATGTAGGTCCTGTGTGCATCCACACGGTATCGGGGTTTCCGTGCGTGTCGGATGTAGGTGCTGCGTCATCCACACAGTATCGGGTTTCCGTGCGTGTTGGATATACGTTACCGCGTCATCCACACAGTGGTTAGGCTTCCCTTGTATGTTGGATGTAGGTACTGCATTCGTCCACATGATTCAAAACATCACGGAGTTTTAAAAAGCCGTTTAGTGCCGGGCGCGGGTGGCTCAAGCCTGTAATCCCAGCACTTTGGGAGGCCGAGACGGGCGGATCACGAGGTCGGGAGATCGAGACCATCCTGGCTAACACGGTGAACCCCGTCTCTACTAAAAAAATACAAAAACTAGCCGGGCGAGGTGTGGGCGCCTGTAGTCCCAGCTACTCAGGAGGCTGAGGCAGGAGAATGGCGTGAACCCGGGAGGTGGAGCTTGCAGTGAGCTGAGATCCGGCCACTGCACTCCAGCCTGGGCGACAGAGCGAGACTCCGTCTCAAAAAAAAAAAAAAAAAAAAAGCCGTTTAGTGAGTGATCTCTTCATCCCTGTCTGCATCTCTTCTCTGCCTCCCTGATCAGGCAGCCACTGTTAGCCTTCAGTGGCTCCTGAGTTGTTTTCCTAGCTTTTGCACGGATACTCAGCCCGGTTCAAACGTGCATCACGCCCCCGTTTTTGCAGATGGGGTGTGCCACCCATGTGTCTTCGCCTTGCTGTGTCCCACGGGGCAAGCATCGCGGGTTCTTCCCCACACCGTGCACGCCAGACTTCCTCATTGTCACGTCACTTCTTCCTCCACACCCGGCTCCTGGACATCTGCGTCAATTCCAGGCCTTTGCCCGTGACAGACAGTGGTGTGGTGACCTTATACGGTCCGCTTGTGTGCCAGGACTCAACACACACGTCCCACGAGGGGCATCATGCCATTCAGTAGGAATCAGTAATTGCCCGCTCACCGACATTCCCACCGGGCACTTCGAGCTTTGGGCTTTTTGTTTTTGAGACAGCATCTTGCTCTGGCCGCCCAGGTTGGAGTGCAGTGGCGTGATCACGGCTCACAAAAGCCTCACCTCCCAGGCTCCAGCAGTTCCTCCTCCTAACTCTCCAGAGTAGCTGGAACCACAGGTGTGCGCCACTGCACCAGCAAATTCTTAATTTTGTGGGGGTGAGGTCTCACTGTGTTGCCCCAGGCTGGTCTCTCCAAAGCCCCTGGGCTCAAGAGAGCCCCCCTTCCCTGTGCTGTGTGCAATTCCCCTTCCCTGTGCCGTGTGCAATTCCCTCTTCCCTGTGCAATTCCCTCTTCCCTGT